ATATGGGGGTGGATACTAAAAGGGTGTGCCTACTAATACCGGGTAAATACAGTAGTAGTGGGAATTAAGTGTTGCTCTCAAGAAAACAATTGAAAATCAAGAATGCACTGATCTGAAAGCTGAAGGAGGGGTTCGTTGGGTTATTTTTCGTTGTTTATCAGGTGGGACAAGTGGCCTATGAGCTTGACTTACCAAAAAAGCGAAAGATCCACAATGTTTTCCATGTCAGCTTGTTGCGCCCATTCAAGACGGGTACTTCGATGCAGCCCACTACATCTGGTCAGGTGGATGAGCTGGAGCCTAAGGAGGATGAGCCGTATGAGGTTGAGAAGTTATTGCATTAGCGGTGGACCTGTCCCAATTCCAAGAGGCAAAAGGAGTTTTTGGTGTTGTGGAAAGATTATTCACTTGATGAGATGACGCCTCTTGCACGCCAAAATAAAACTTCACTTACCCAGAGGAACTAAAAAAATGATTAAAAGGGACAAATCAATAGAGGATAATTAGGTCCACTAGTTTGCTTAAGGTTTTGAGGGTGAAACTACCCCTAGAGGGAAGTACTATAGTATAAGCTACAGGGGTTAGATAATGTTTCTCTAAATGGGGACTGGAAATTGGAATGCATAGCAATGAAGTATCTTATAGGAAAGTTAACTCTGTTAGGAGTTTATAGGTGTTTGAACTAACGCAATTGGCTTAGTGGTTGAGGAGTTATTGTTAATTAAAATTCTAGTACTTAAGGGCTACTCTTAGATCATATTTGGGGATGAGATACTATCATGGGATATGATATGATATTGGACGCTGCATTGTCACATGATTCGTGCCGGTTGCCGACCCAAAAGGGTGTGAGGGGGAATTCACACTACATTATACATTATGAACCAGTCGGGAATATTGTATGATAGAATATCAAGCTTGAGGTAAAGCACAACACGTTGTACATTATAAGCACTTGCGGAGGCATTGTATACTAAAATATCATGGGTCTAAAGTTAGGAATTGGCTATGCATATTAGGGGTGGCAACTCGGAGGGTTTCCCGGCACCATCGCCAAAGAAGAATACCGAGAAAGGGAGTACCGTGTTGGTCAACACGGTGGTCTATGGAAGGGATGGGCCCACGGGACCCTCATGGCCAGATGAGACAGAATATAGGGCTGGCAATATGCCATGGGTAGGACAGGCTGAGTGACTCAGCCGTGAGGCAAGTAGCAAATAGGGAGACAAATGGGTATGAATTCGAACAATACCGAACCAATTTGGCAGCGGCCGTTTGGCTGTTTAGTTGCCGCCCTTGAGCAACTATAAATATGAGGCAAAATTGCACCAATGTGATAAGCAACCTTGCCATTCCTTTCCCTCTGTGCCGTACCACCAGCTCCTTAGTCGAATGGGATAAAGTGGGCCATGCCCTGGCTGGTGTAAAGGAGTGTCCCAAGGGCGTCGCCCCTTACAAAGAGTGACCACCTCATGCAATACCAAAACCGTCTGTTCCCCTACCTCATGCCTCCCAGCAGTTGCGCCCGCAAGCTGCACAGTGCCATGCACCCACGGTGCATACAGCTGCCCCGCACTTGGCCATCCTTGTGGTTTGGGCCTAGGCTACATACCCAAAGAAACGAGCGCCCCGGCAAGCCCACCGGCGATCCAATGGAGTAGGTTCTACGGGCCCCATTGGGCGCCTCGGTGGGTGCATCGCCCACATCCAACTGAAAACCACACTATTGCAGGCAGCTATAACTATAGTTACCCATCTCCCAATCGCTGCAATACAAAGTTAATATTCCAAACCTTGTCTTAGTCTATCTCTCCTTTTCTCACACACTTACGACCGACTCCCAAGTCAAACGGAATGGACGGGCCGAGCCTTTGTCAATCGCAAATGGGCCAAGACCCCTTACACAATGAGAGGGGGGGTGGATGGTTTCTGGCGCACCCATCTATGAATTGCAAGAGGCCATCTTGGCCTGGCTCTTTGCGAAGGGCACTGTGTCAATCCATTTTTTAGTTCCCCACCTGACCGAGGCTCAAGTAGAGACTCAGTGGGGAGTGCGGTTTGGTGTGGTGTGGCAGACTGGGGTAGCATGGGCTATAGAGGGTAGAGGCAGGAGCTATGGCGAGGCATGGATATCATGGGATAATGGAGTAGACGGGCGCAAGGCCACTTCACCATGGGGTTACCGTGGGACCTTTGGGTGAAGAGGGTAGCTCAAAATCAGAGTGCGAGTCGGTGGACTATGGGTCGAAATCGGGGGCTTAATGTTGGGTTAGTGGTTGGAGTTCCCAGAGTGAAGTGGTAGCCTGCACCAGTGTAGTTAGTCTTGGCAGAACATCGGGGACGTGGGGACCTTGTGCGGATTTGTGACAAAAAAGTTTCACATATGGGACATAGGCAGAGGTTCAGTCTGAGCCAGAAGGGGACATAGTAGGCTCTGAGGCTATTTATTCAGTGGTTAAATGGAGGGATAGTGTCTCATTGTCAAACAAGCCTGGACTATTCTGTAGAAGTCGTGTGGCTTGCCTACTATGTGTGCGCCACCTGCGAGCTCGAGCAAGCTTATGCGGAGGCTGACTATCTATGGTTGGTGTCCGGAGCACCCAGTGTGACTGGGGTAGATGGGGCGACACCACTCCGACTTCAGGGGCTTGCTGAGGGCTGGTTCTGACCAGCTGGGGAATGCGCGTGTGTGCAACAAGGTGTTTCCATGCGTTTTGACCGAGGCCAAGGCAAGTTCTGATGCATGGCCTCCTGGGATCCGGAATGCTGGGTAGTTTAGCATGAGTTACACAAGGGCCTGGAGCTGGGTTTGACTTGGAGTGAATGTTTACTCTCAATAGGTGCTTCCATAAAAGGGTATTGAGTTGCGATATTATGGGGTGGTCTGGAACAGTATACTGGCCATGGGGTTGGAATGCACGAGGAATTGCTAATCCATCTTAGCTATTGAATCATGCTGACTGGAGTATAGTGTTTTGATGAGTGTAGACCTGTATAGTATATTCAAGGTTGGGTTACAAACTACATAAAAGTGGGATTATGTAAAGGCGGATTGGTGAGACCAGGATCCGACCTAACACGATGTGTATGTCTGACTGAAGGCAGGCCTGTGGATATGCCATAACGTCTATTTTAAAGGCGTTGCTATTTATATGACCGAGGGTGGCAGGTCCACCTTTGGGACTTCACTTAATACCACCCATACGACTGCGCGTATGGTGGGAAGTGCACTGCTGCCTATTTCTAGATCTTGAGTGCAGCCTACTGCATGGGAGTACCGCAAAACTGTTTACGCTGACTGTGTGGTCCAGCACGCGGAGTGCTACTGCTGCAAACGCTTAAAATGACCATCATCTGCTGTCGATGTGACAGTGCACTTCCAAGAACTTCCATCTGTGTCTCATCTTCGATCGTCATCCTCGTTTTCTCCACATTTTCGAGAATGGTGTAACAATGCCCATTTAATCATCGGATTTACAAATTGGTAATTGACGGAGGCAGATCAGTGGCCAATTACTAGTAATTCGAATAGATCGTTCATGCTGAAACACTGGAAAATTCTCCCTGAATCCGGTTGCTGGAATGGAAAGCTTCCATTTACCCAGCTGCTTCAGAAAATCTGTATCTGCTGCTAAACGCCGTTGCCCTCCCTCAACGTGAATCCATGAATTGTGCTGTTTGTGAAGTGAGTCGTCGCCTGATTACATGTCAGTCAGCTACAATAAACAATGATCGACGTGTCATCTATGCCGCCAGAGGCTGAGCGGGCCGGTGGAAACATTTTGGCTTCAATGATCAGTTTTGCTTGCCAACAACACTGAATTGAAATTGAAACAGCACCTGTGCCAGGAAGCGCAAGGCTTGGATCCTCACATTAGTCAGGCAGCAGCAGCAGCTCACCAGCCCTAATGGGCAGCTGCGATGGGGGCTGCTTTAACAAGAGAACGGCGAAGCGAAGCACAGCCGAGCATTTGGCGCAGGGCCATGGAGGTGAGCGTAGCACACATGTATGCCTCACCAACAGGGTGCATTTCTAATAGCATACGGTTGCACGCCTGCCACTTGTGGCACGGGTACGTTCTGTGAAACGCAGAGTGTCCCACAGCGATCGGCTGCCAGTTGCTGTTCGGGCCGGACTACCTCAATGCAGCATACCCAAGGTGGGCCGCTGGTGGAGAATGTTGAGGAGTCGATGGTGGGCGCCATGCGGCACCTTGGGTGCGCATCGCCTCAGATCCAAAATGGTGGGATCCGCAAGGCTCCCAATCACATAACCGCACCCTACTCGTTGATATGCCCTGGGCATGTGAGGCCGACACGTGCATCACATGCACCCCATCGGGAAACCTTTCTGGACGCATTGGCCCACATTTCCCTGTGACGCATGTTCGGGCAAAACCACTGTTTGGACTGGGTTTCTGGCGAACGTTGTCAATACGTGGAATATTGAAGAATTGGAGTCAGGACGCATTGCGGAAACGAACAGTGCAGCTCGCCCCGCTCGCTTCTGCAATAGGCGACTGGGCAACTTGCATGCTGCACCCCACGCGACGAGCTGAGGTTTCAACATTGAAAAGTCTTTAACCGTGAGCGCCGCATGAGGCACCTCCCCACACTTTTCATGCTTCAAAAACAACAAGGTTATATTGTCCCCGTTCCAAAGCCTTCAAAATTTTGCCGCGGTCACCAAATAAAGGACGCCCCGCCCTCCGCTGCAAAAGAACAACAGTTTGTACTACCTCCATTCCAAAACCTTCACAGTACAGTCCCCGTTCGCTGGACCCACATCCACAAGCGTGGCACCCCACCATATTTAGGACCTCGCCGTCTGATCTGTAGGTGCAGCCCAATATTCGAGGCCACTTGCCCAGCGGAACGGCGTCATCAAGTCACGCTGGCGTGCCTCCACGCCTACCCAACAAGGCCGCAAACTGCGTATTTTATTTCGTGGCTGCTGGAAGCATTGCGGCAGCCAGACTTCCGGGCCCATTTCTTCATTTTCAGGGGCAGAGACTGGTGGGACAGTTGAAGTTGCCTCCGATGTTGTTGTCGATGGCAGTGACCTGGGTTGCACTGTTAATATCGACGTTGCCAGTAGTGGAGGACCCAGAGATGCTAAAAGTCCCCGTCACGCCGACGACGACACTGCCAATCACCTGCGTATTCTGGACATCAACATTCCGGCCAAAGGCCTCAAAGTTGCCCCTGATCTGGATGCCGACAATGGAGCAGTCGCCCGCCGAATTGATGACGGTGCCGTCCACCACCCCAGTAGGCACGTTCACCGGCGAGAGGATTGTCCCGTCATTACACTGCAATGGATTGAAAGGCACCGGGCACGCAGCGGCACACTCCAGCTCGCAAATCCCGTTCAGCGAATTCGGCAGCAGCTCGATCACTGGGGCTGCACTGAGCCCAGTGCAGCTGATGCCCCCGTTGACATTCAAATTGTTTTCGATGAACAGCGTCCCGCCTACACCAGCGGCAACGATGGGCCCGTTGATCACGGCGTTGTCGCTGATCGTGGCGCTCCCAACGATCTGGTTCACGAAGACTCCCGCATTTATGGAGCAACCACTGACCTCGAAGGACCCTGACACCCTGGTCGCCTCCACGGCACCGATATTCGGGGGGCTGCCCGGCCCAAGCGGGGGGATGCATCGCAGGCTCGCGCTTCCGACGTCGGTCACTTGGAAATCGGCCATAGTCAGCATGCCTTCGGCCCTGACCTCCCCGACGCGGTCAAACTGAGCATCAGTTGAAAGAAGTGTGTCCACGATGATCACCGCTTCCGTATCCTCCGCCTGGAAGTCACCGTTGATGACTGTATTCCTGATCTCGAACCTGCCGCCGTTTCTGCTGGCGACGTCCCCGTTGATAACTGCGTTCAACAGCGTGCAGTCCCCCGCCATGTTGTCCACTGGCTCGTTGATTTCGCCGCTAATCACCTGCCCAAGGTTGCAATCCAAGCCAACCACGCCGGGCGGGACAGCCGCCAACAAGGCAGCGCAGACAGCGAGCGCCACCCTCAGGTCCTTGCCGAGGATCATGGCTGGGGAGGGATGGTTCTGCAGCGCAACACGAAAGGCTGTTAGCTCACATGAGGGCAGCGGTGGCCCCGAGCTCAGCGTAACGTCCAGCGTAACGCGAACCGCACCAAGTTTTTTTCTTTCGCTAATGAAGGGGGGGAAACCGGAACAGCGCCCGGTGCCAACCGCCCAGCTCCCCCGCAACGACGGCGGGCGGCGGGCGTACTCTCGCAAGGAGACGAGGACCGCGAGGACCGCCGAGGGTGACGCGCGTGCTACCGATCTCCCGATGGGACCAGGCGATTGCGTACGGTTCTCGGGCGCGAACAGCCCCGCGGAGGGTTTGGCGGCTGGGGTTGCGGCCACAAGGCGCGCGGCGTTGCCGAACGTCGACTCCGGAGCGAGTTGCCCAAGGCTCTTGCGGTCGCCGGCGACATGGCCCGCCTCGCATGTTTACTCATTGGCCAGCCGATCGCTGGATAGCGGGGGCGCCGGGGCATTCGAGCGATGGCGAGCCATGGGAAAGGCAAATCGACGCGTCAAAGTGATGCGGTGCCGTGGCGGCATCCATGTACTGCGTCCACAAGCGAGCAAAACGAAAACCAACTGCGCAAGCATTGAGCGCGTCCATTCCAGATGCCCCGCTTGCCACCTTTGGCACTTACGTCAGCGGAGATTGCAACGCGGCGAGCTGAGAGCTGGAATGCAAGAGAGCCTCCTGCCAGCGCGAGGCGCCAAGGCCAATAAACTCCTGTCCACACAGCAACGTCGTGTGAGAACATGGAAACCGCGGCGCAAAGCGCGGCAACATTCGAAGGACAGCAGCGAATGACGGCCCGTCGCTCAGGCCGTTGTGCGCCACCTGCGGGCTGCGACGGTGCGTGCCAGCGGACGGCGGTGGAGGTGGACGCACCGTTGCCACCGGCCCCACCCACCTCACGCCCCTCAATGGACTTCCCAGCGGACGCGCGCCGACACCCAACCTGGGAACGCCCTGGCTTCTTATAGGCGATGCTGCTCCATGCACAAATGATGACGCACCGACACGCCGTGCGAGGAGGCCATCCTGAGCCTCTCATGATGGGAGGATCCACGAGATGGGCGCAGGACACAGGAGCAGTGCAAGCCCGCCAGTGTACGGCATGGAGTACTTGCGGTGCCTCGGACAGCTGATCCGATCCTATCCGATCTCACCCAGGCGCAAACGTGGCATGCATCTTCGCGCGATTGGTCCATGCAAGTCAACCATTTTGATTGGCTTCAAAAATCTGCCGCGATCAGTCCGAGGGGCCGCGAGAGGGCGCCGCGCGGCAAGGATAGAGGGCTGTACTTTTTGAGGCATGTGATCGTGGCGGAGGACCATCCCATCCACTGCAGCAGCGGCAGGCACGCGACCGGAACAACCATTGTCCTGCTGCAGTTATTGTAGTTCTTACATTGCAGGTGCTGCCGGGGCCCCGGTTTGGCGACAACTTGGATAGCGAACGGACATATTAATCAGCCACCAGGAACCCCTGGTACATCACTGTTTTTCCACTGCGCATTAAGGTGCAAGCCTTGGGTGCCGCGTGCGTCTTCCGTGATGCATCCTGTTCCAGGTGCCTAACCTGGCCTTGGTGAGCCTGGGTGGGGACCTTCGTTGACAGCGCTGGCCGACAGCGCTGGCCAATAGCGACGCTGCTCGTGGACGTGTGCCCAACACGCCCGGTTTGCCGTCGGTAAGATCTGACCTCTGGGGAGGGCGTCCTACAGCCACAGCTGCATTGGGTTATGTTCACTGATGCGTGCTTGGTGCGGCCAGTGTAGGTACGGGAAGAAAGCTGACGGTTGTTTCTCAAAAGGCGCTCAGCTTCTGACAAGGCTGCCAGATCCGCTGTTACAATCAGATGCAACTCAAAAATACAGATCGATGTGTCTGACAGTTGTTTTGACAAGGTGGAGGTTGGTGGACGCGCTGTTAGTCATTGTGTCACATCAGCACAATGATGGCCTCTTGACTGACGTACTGCAGCTGACTGGGACCAATTTACATTTGACCAGTCAGGAGAACATGGACAGCCGCTCAGCGTTGTTAGAAAGCTAGAAAGCACGCTATTGTTACCTGACATTTTAGTGATGACAAATATGCAATTTGCATATGAAAAGGGAGAATTGCTTTGTCCCAAAGGAAAAGTGAGAGCGCCAAAAAAACACGTGGCGATGCTGCCATGATGGCTAGCGAGGCTCATATCCAATATCCAATATAGACATAATGGCAGCCCTGCCTGGGGTATGCTATGGCAAAAAGCACCTTTGAAAAAGGCAGAATTCCCGGGGAATCGCTGGCCAATTCATCGCAAAACTAATGCGATCGGTGATGGATACATTACTGAAAATGTAGGCCATGTTGCAACTGATGGATGGTAACAAAATAGGCCAAAAGGGACGGTCATTCTGGTTCGATATTGGCTCCAATTCATAGCAGAAATCTGGGTGGAACACGCAGTTTCAAGTTTGCCACAATAGTGGGGTGGAGTTCGGCCGCAATGTTGAGCCGACAATGATGATGCGCACGGATGCGCGGACGGTGTGTGGGTGTGCGCAGACGCCGTCCGGGGAGCGCGCAGACGGTGTGTGGGAGTGGGCAGAGACTGTCCGAGGAGTGCGCGGATTGTCTCCGGGGATTGCGCGGACAGTGCGGAGAAGGTTCCTTGTCGAATTTGAATTTTTCAAGGGGGCGATTGCCATTTGTGCCCCGCGCATCCGTGTGCTACGTTGGTTGGCTGTGTGGCGGCATGGTTGCGACGCCGCCTGTGGTTCGTTGTGGGGTTGCGAGTGGTCCCCCACACAACTGTTTTGGTTGTGGGGGTGCGAGTGGTCCCCCACGCAATTGTTTTTTTGGTGGACATGACGGTATGATCTTGCGAGGATCGGCAGTTCTCCGCTGCTGGAGATCACAGGGCCTGGGCAGCCTGCACACAAAGCAACTAGAAACCGTCAGTTCTTCACTTCTGCCTCTTCAATCGATGGTGATGGTAGCGCTGGGGCAGCCAACACACAGAACGCTGAACATCAATTCTTCGCCACTTGGCTCCTCCATTGCTCGCGATCGCGGCTCGTGGTTGGTCTGCGCACATAGCACACAGAACGTCAGTTTTGCCCGACTCCTCCATCGCCAACAATACCAAGACCTTAACACCTGCACATAAGAGCAACCAGAATTTATTAGTTCTGCATCCGCTGCCCACTCAATCGCGTGTGATCTTTGGCGCCTGGATCGCCTGCACACAAAACACACAGAACCGTCAGCTCCTAACCGCCGCCTCCTCCATCGCCACGAGGCATCCCCAATTGGTTGCCGTCCTCGACGTCCACCGTACGATCAGCAGCACTGATCTTGCCATGCCCTCTTCACCCTGTGGTTTGCGAGCCCCCGACGGGGTTGTGGGGGTGGGCGCCTACGCATCGCCACTCTTCCCTCTAGTCGCTGTGGGAGGTGGGCAGGACGGCGATCCGGCCCCTCCCTTCACGGCAAGAGGGGGCGTTGGCGTGTTGGTGCAGTTTAGCGGGGGCGCTCTAATCACAGCAACGGCCACAAATCAACGACACACTGATGTGTGTCCCCAGGCACACTCAAACTGTCCGAGCGTTCCGCGCACGCCTTTCCAACCGACCGCGCATATACCCTTGTCACTTCCGAGGCCTCCGTCCGAGCACGTCTATGCAGAGCACGGACGTGTCTAAGTGGCCACAAAAAAAGTATTCTGAGGACTCGAACGCTCTGGGCGCGTCCCAGCGCCTTCGGTCACTCTGGGAGTGTCTGGGAACGCGCGGAACCGCCCGAGGCCTCGGAATACTTTTTAGTGGCCGCTCGGACACGTCCGCGCGCTGCACAGACGCTCTCGGACGCGCTCGGACGCATCAGATCCGCTCGGAAACTGCGCGGACGCCCCTTTTTTCCCCGTAGTGGATGCTTAGCGATAGTGTTTGCTTGATGAGACAGCCACCTATGAATCCACTAAGCTGATTATGATCCAATGGCTGCAAAATATTTGATGGGGAAGCTGCGGGGGCAGCAATTGACAGTGACTCATGAGTGAATAACACTGATCCTTGGATGAATGAAAATAATTGGACGTGGGGGATGGTGACAGGGTAGCGGATCACACTAGTGATCGGGACAGGTAGGGTATAATTTAAGAAGTTGTCTAATAGTGACCCGGATCCTCAGAAATTTCTGAGGATCCCCGTACATAGGGGACAGCACGCGGGGGGTTATGAATAGGGGGCATGCAAAGTGTTTGTGGCATCCACGCACCGTTGGAGCTGAATTTCAGGCTGTTGTTTTGGAGTGCCTCCCTGTGGGAACATCTAAATGCCGTCCAAGTACATTTATTTCAAGCGATAGACTTTGGGAAAGTGCTAGGGATCGAGTTTGAGAGCGCGGGCACTGTCCCATTGTCGTACAGCATGCGGCGTGTCGATTTACGACTTGTACAGCGATCGTGACGTTGCATTACGTTCACATTGTGACTCGGTGAGTTGCATGAGGAGTTTTGGACAGCGAACTTGTGGGAACGAACGTCGGGCGCCCTCAAAGCACACAGGTGTGTGTCGCAGCTGCAAAGGAACGCCGGTTGGGTGACCCGCTGTGCCGATCATGGGCGGTTTGAGCCATCGTCATCACAGGCACGACATCGGCGACATTCAGCCGCCAGAAATCGTTGCAGGTTCTCCCTTGCAAACCCTACAGGATCAATTCAAAGTCCCTTGGCCATCCCGGTTGGAGATTCCGCTCATCGCAATCGTCTAAATTGAATGCACAGCGATGGGCCAGAACGCAACACAAATTAAAATTTTTTGATTTGACTTCTGTGGCAAGCTTGGTGCACGCGGTGCTGAAACGTTCTCGCCGTGCATTACTGGACAAGCAGTCAATGCGCAACTTTTCTTTCAATAAAACCAAGAGAAGCCACGAGCAATCTCGGGCCATCTTTAAATACCAGAATGCCTCTCTTTTTCCGCCCACCAGAAGTCACTCT